ATATATTTTTTTTTTTTTTTTTGATTTCAGAGAGGAGGGGAGGGGGGGGGAAGGATAGAAACATAAATGATGAGAGAGAATCATTGATCAGCTGCTTCCTGTACGCCCTACACGGGATCGAGCCCGCAACCCAGGCATGTGCCCTGACCAGGAATCGAACTGTGACTTCCTGGTTCATAAGTCGACGCTCAACCACTGAGCCACGCTGGCCGAGCGAGACTTTTTTTTTTTTTAAACCAGTGTCTTTGATTTCATTCTCTGTTTGAAGGTTTAAAATACCTATTATACACCATGTTCTTTTCCACTTAGGCTTAAACCCTGCCTGATTTGGCAAGTGCCAAACTGTCAATGCAATCATTATTTAGTTTGAGGTTGAGAGCCTTCCCATTTCCTTACCTGTTGTTAACTTCTATTAGATTCTTCATTCTACCTCTTTAAATTTTTAGCAAGGTAGAATGGGCATGGAGAGCTAATATTCCTTGCTGGGATTCTATTTTGGTAGAGGCAAGTCCTGTATCAGGGCAGAATAATTAATGTATAGGACTCATGCCCTCCCCTTAAGTGAAGAGAAACTTCATTGAACTGTTGGACTATAAAGATTGCTTTTTAGGAGTGTGTTTTGTTTTAACATTGGGGGCAGAGTGGACATTTTGTAGGAGAAAGGTTCTATGTAGCAAAATGAAAATTCTGTGATTAATCATAGTTCATTTTCAGGAGGCCAATGCCTTATCCATTAGGCAACTGGGGCTTCTCCGTAGTTCATTTTTAAAACAAATTTGCCAAGTATATAATTAAATATATATTAAAGTGTCCACAGCATTGATTTGCATAGTTTATATGAAGCCTGGAAGCACTGAGAAAAAGGTTGCTCCTTTTCAGTTGTTTTTTATTGTCAATAGAGTCATGACTTTTTGTAAGCATTTTGTGTGAAGAATAATGTTTAAATAGCACTACAGAAATGAATAAGGCATCGGCGTGATTCTTAGAGAATTACCATAAGTCTCTGAAATTGAGTGCCCTAGCCATTACAGTTAATCAGTCACTATTGTAAAGTACAAATATTAAAGCCTATTCTCTTCATCAAAATGAAAAGTAAACTGTTCATGTTCAGTTTAGTAAGTGCTAAGATCCTAATGATAACCTCAGGAGGGAAATATTTCAGAGTCTCACTATCCGCCTTTCTAAATTGGGCTTATTACATGATGGAGTGGAATGGCAGAGCAATGGCTGGATACAAATAGGACAATCCTGTAAGAATATTTAATTCTGAACTTGATAGAAAGATTACAAACTGTGACAGGCATACATCTATACATTTTCTTAATATGTTGGTGAGTCTCTTATAGTTTTTGATTCTTACTTTGATTCAATAAATTTATTATCTTTTTTTGCAATAAAAATACCTTGACATCTTTCTCCTTTGAAGGTTCATGATTTACTCAGCAAAGAAAGGGCTATGGAAGAAAGGAGGTAAAGAGCTATTTTTTGTAGAATACTCTGGAGAGGCGGTTTTCTTTTACATGCTTACCCCATCCCCTTCTGAGGACAAATGCCGTGTTCAGAGTCCCAGGCGTAGCAAAGCAACTCTAGCTTTATGGTTAAGCTGTAATGGCCATTTTTGAGCACTTAACCTAGTCAAACTGACTCCAGCTGAAACATAGCCAATTTATACAACAGCTACCAGTTCATTAGTTGTCTTGGCATAAAAACCTTGCTTGATATGAACGATAATACCTAGACCAATCATAGTTTTTTTAGGAAGTCATACAAACAGTGTGAGATAAAAAGTGTGTGTTAGTAGTGAAAGGAGAATAAAAAATACACAACGAGGCAGACATTTATTTGTTGGAGACAGGTTAATATTTGCAATAATAGGTTAATATTTGTAAGGATCAATGAACTTCTGTTTCTGAGGAAGGGGCATTGTTGGTGCCTAAACTCAAGAGTTGTATTAGATCCTGAATGTAGCCCAAACTATTCTAGACATGAGACCTACCTATGTTGCAATTCCTGATCATTGCCAGATAACCAGCTTCAGGTCCCAGGGTTCCTTGTTTCTACAAGTATCATTATACTATCCAAAAGTCTTCCTCCACCTATTTAAAAAAAATAAAATATAAAGGTATAATTTACATAAAGTGCAGGAATCAATTAGAATGGTATACAAAAACTTTGCTCCAGCCTTAACCGGTTTGGCTCAGTGGCTAGAGCGTCAGCCTGTGGACTGAAGGGTCCCAGGTTCGATTCCGGTCAAGGGCATGTACCTTGGTTGTGGGCACATCCCCAGTGGGGGGTGTGCAGGAGGCAGCTGATCGATGTTTCTCTCTCATCGATGTTTCTAACTCTCTATCCCTCTCCCTCTCTGTAAAAAATCAATAAAGTATATTAAAAAAAACCACTTTGCTCCAATACAGTTCTGCCCCCTCTATCCTCCTCCTATTGTCATACAAATTATATCTTTATACATTATAAGCCCATCAGCACGGTTTTATAAATACTGTTTTATCTAGTTGTCTTTGAAATCATACAGAAGAAGCAAAGATTTATAAACAAAAATACATTTATGCGGCATTTTATTTTTTTTGACTAGTACTCTTTAATTCTTCATGTGAATTCTAATTACTAGTTCCCTAAAGGCTGTAGGACTGAATTGGTCTGGAAGGAAGAGGCAGGGAAGAAGAGGACAAAACAGGAGCAGGAAGGATAGGTAGAGACTTTTGCCGTATAGAGAACTGAAGAGGATATCTCTTTCAGCTAATATTTAATAAGCTCCTCCTATGAATCAGGAACTGTCCTTCACACTGGCTATTTGGGCATAGACACAAACATAGTTAAGAGACACAGTCCTGACCTACAGACTAGTAGAGAAGGAAAGGAATAAACATAAAGCCTGTTGGTCAGTCTACAAAATTACAAATTTAATTTTATGTTGTATATGGTGAGGACCTACTTTGTTGGGGTCCAACCCCAGCAGGTCCAGGTTCTTTATGAAAAAGACAGGCATGAGAAAACTACTTTCCTAATGCATTATGTGGATTAAAAAATGTTTGGATTCCATCAAAGAAATCCAGCAGTTAAAAAAGAAATTCCTTTACTCACAACCCCCACCCACCTAACTAGCCCAAGAGCATTTTTAAAAGAACTAAAAAAATAGCTGCCAAAGATCTCAATCACTTCATTACTGGTGAAATATATAAAAACTTACAGGACTCACAGAGTGCCAAACTTAATTTATAAAAATAATAAAACATCAGTATGAACAGGATCAGGATTCACTCTCATCAATGTCCTTATCCGGGTCTTGCTTGGCAGCCTCCTTTTCCTGTTGCTGTTTCTTCCAAAGTGTGGTCATGGCCAGGAGCTTGAGATGTGGTTGGTTGGCAGCATCTTCCGGAAAGATGTGATCATAGTATTCTGCCCAGCCTGCATCAGACCCATCATCCGCCTGGACCTTTCTTCTCTTTTTGACTTTCTTTGGCATGAGTTTGTCTACTCTTTATCCGCCGTAGTTCCAAAATCATCTTCAAAGTTTCTCCAAGATTCCAGCAACATAAGTCTCTCTTCCTTTTCCTCACAGTTTCGCATGGTTTTGTTAGCCTCTTCATAAATCTGTCTGCATTTCGGCAAACTTCCTCCTTTCCCTGAAGACAACTCCAACTGTGCAAAACTGATCCATACCTTGGCATGTTGTGTCCGTTGAAGCAATCGTCGGTAAAGATTGCGCGTTCTTTCAGTTTCTTCCTGCTCAATTTCAAAATCAATGAATGATTTCCGCAGCGCCTCTGGCATGTCTAAGCGTGGCTGGCTGATGGCTAACTCGTAGATTGCACGGACTCTCTCAATATCGCCAAGGATTGTTTCTAATTCTGCAAATTTAATCCAAGAGGTACAATTTTCAGGTCCAAATTCCAGGAACTTTTCATACAGCTTCCGGCATCTGTCAAATTCTCGAAGCTGTAGCTCCAATTCTATGTAACCTTTAAATAACTTGTTCTTTGGACATTTGCCTATGGAAGTCCCCAAAGCTCTACGGGCAAATGGTAAATAAATTTTTCTGTCTCATTTCAAATTGTGCATATAGTAGCCACATTTTGGCAAATGTGAACTTTTTATGAGGAATTCGTTCCAAAGAGGCTTGATACACCTGTCTTGTCCCTTCAGGATCCTTTGCCTCCAGTTCTTCATAGAGGGCATAGTTGACCCAAAGATAGATGTAACACTTCCAATGTCTCTTCTCCTGAATGGGTGGGACATTGGTAATAGCTCTTTCATAGACTTCTCGTACAGTTTCTGCTTCTGCATCACTTCCCACCAAGCGCAGGTAATCAAACCAGGCATCATAATTGTGTGGATTAGCCTTCACTTCTTCTTCATATTGGAATCTCCGTTTGCTCACAATGATGTCTTCAATACCCCGCCTATCACCAAACTTCTTCTCAAAGATGGTATAATTTTTAAAGAGCTCTTGGGCCTCTTGTTTTGAAATTCTATCCAGGGCATACTTGTAAATCACTCGCACCCTTTCAGATTCTTTCTGATTTTCTTCAAATTTGGCAAAGGCAACATCAAGGCGTTCACCCATATGTTCATCTCCAAAGAATTCCACAGCCCTCTCATACACTTTCCGTGCATGGGCAAAATAACCATGTTTTTCTTCAAAGCGGGCATACTTGACCCAGTTCTTAACATCAGGGTGCACAAGTACAAGTCTCTCATAAATGGTGCGGGCCCGATCCACTTCTTTGTATCGCAGCTCAAAGTTGATGTAGGAGTGCCAGGCTTGCTCCTCTGGCTGCCATTCCATCCAGCGCTCAAACACCTGCCGGGCACCAGCCACGTTGCCCAGCATCTCCTCCATGTATGTGTATTTGTACCAGAACTGGTTGACTCGGGGCAGAGCTGTTATGACCCGGTCCCAGACATTTCGGGCATGGTTGACGTGGCGATTCTTCATTTCCATTTCCGCATATTTCAGCCAGAGTGTAATATTTCGATAGTCCACATCTAAAGCACGTTCATATATGGATCGAGCCCTTTGAATCTCCTTTAGACTCTCTTCCCATTGTGCGTATTTTATCCAGTTACTAATCATAGTCCTGTTTTTTCTTATGTTATCTTCAAAAGTCTTCCTTTTCCTTAGTTTGTAATAATTTAACTCTTCATCTGTGATCTTCTGTTGAGGTGAAGGTGGAAGAAGCTCAAGTTCTCTTTCTTTAGCTTCTCTTAAAAGCTGTTCCGCAGTGATCTGTACCTCAGGTGGGGCTTTGTTTTTCACCTTGGCCACTTTGGGAATTCTCTGCTTCCCTGCCACGGTGGAGGCCGCCATGGCTGCAGCAGAATTCGTTCGGTGAACTCGGGCACCAGATGTTGGGGTCCAACCCCAGCAGGTCCAGGAGTTCCCAAAGGTGTGGACGGAATCAGCGAAGAAGAATCAGCGAAGAAGTGACACAGAGGCAGCATTCAGATGATCAGCAAAGCCAAGTTCTCTCGCTAGGTTCTCCAACCAGGTTTGGTCTTTATTGTCTTGTTACATCTGTATTTATACCAGTTGATTTTAATTCTATCAATTCTATTCCAAAGGTTAGGGCATTTCTTATCTCCATTCCAAGGTTACTCTATTGTTCTATTAAGCTACAAGGGAGTAACTGAAGGAGATTGATTATCCTACGTAAAGATTATGTAGCTTAAGCATGATTGTTTTTAAAGTGATTAATTGCCCGCCTGGCACTTAGTTAAGGGGTTTTATTCCCTCCCTAACTCCAAGAAAAAAGCCTCACCTGGGGAAACAACCTTTCTCAGGGAGGTGGTCCTGTTTAAAACACATAGCGTTAAGAGGCGGGGCAAACATATGCCATATACGCCAGGTCCCTTGAAACATAAGCAGTTTCTTCCCTGCAGCAACTGTGTCAAGCAGCAAGGGGAGAGCGGCT